CTCTCTCTCTCTCTCTCTCTCTCTCTCTCTCTCTCTCTCTCTCTCTCTCTCTCTCGTCTGACGGCTGAGTGGTATATGGACCTTCTTGTGTACTTTTTACATTTGTATATATAGTTTTACAATTCATCACATTTCTATAAAGTCTTACAATATTTCTGTTGATGTTTTCTGTCGGTTTGTTCACACATCATCACACTAGCCGGAACTACTTTTTATGGGAATCCCCTTGTCATGGCGAGCTGAAAAATCCCCGGTATTTGCAAAAAATATCAAAGTTTATAAAATCTTTGTATCGATCTCTACCAAATACGGAATATGTGTGATAAAAACAAGACCACACACTTGTGTTTTCCTATCTCATTTATTGCGCGGACGTATATATTCACTCGTGCGCTCCGCACATGTATATATGAGGAATATTTGTGCTGTAATGAGGCGAGCGAGTTCTGAACAGACCGTTTTGCTGTAATGAGACGAGCGAGTTCTGAACAGAACGTGCTGCTGTAATGAGGCAAGTGAGTTCTGAACAGAACGTGCTGCTGTAATGGGACGAGTGAGTTCTGAACAGAACGTGCTGCTGTGATGGGGAGAGCGAGTTCTGAACAGAACGTTCTGCTGTAATGAGACGAGTGAGTTCTGAACAGAACGTGCTGCTGTGATGGGGAGAGCGAGTTCTGAACAGAACGTTCTGCTGTAATGAGACGAGCGAGTTCTGAACAGAATGTGCTGCTGTAATGGGGCGAGCAAGTTCTGAACAGAACGTACTGCTGTAATGAGACGAGTGAGTTCTGGACAGAACGTGCTGCTGTAATGGGACGAGCGAGTTCTGAACAGAACGTGCTGCTGTACTGAGACGAGCGAGTTCTGAACAGAACGTGCTGCTGTGATGGGGAGAGCGAGTTCTGAACAGAACGTTCTGCTGTAATGAGACGAGTGAGTTCTGCACAGAACGTGCTGCTGTAATGGGACGAGCGAGTTCTGAACAGAACGTTTTGCTGTAATGAGACGAGCGAGTTTTGAACAGAACGTGCTGCTGTAATGGGGCGAGCGAGTTCTGAACAGAACGTGCTGCTGTAATGAGACGAGTGAGTTCTGAACAGAATGTGCTGCTGTAATGGGACGAGCAAGTTCTGAACAGAACGTACTGCTGTAATGAGACGAGTGAGTTCTGAACAGAATGTGCTGCTGTAATGGGACGAGCAAGTTCTGAACAGAACGTACTGCTGTAATGAGACGAGTGAGTTCTGCACAGAACGTGCTGCTGTAATGGGGCGAGCGAGTTCTGAACAGAACGTTCTGCTGTAATGAGACGAGCGAGTTCTGAACAAAACGTGCTGCTGTAATGAGACGAGAGAGTTCTGAACCGAACGTGTTACAGTAATGAGACTAGCACGTTCTGTTCAGAACTCGCTCGCCTCATTACAGCACAAATATTCCTCAGATATACATGTTTATGTGTGTTTTACATTCACTAATACCACAACGCGACAGAGAATCATGACCTTCCTAGGCATGGCTCGAGGGTGTGGTAAAATCCATTTATACTGGACTAGTGATGGCCAAATCTTCAGAGGATTCCGGAAATATTCTGACGTGAAAAATCATTGATATTTCACTTATCGAGTGGACTGGAAAGAAGTACACAATGCGCGCCCTTGCTTAGCGTCGGTAGATTATATTTGTGATATTCTGCTGCAATGACCAGTGACAGAAAATCCGCATCATTATTTCTATAAATATAATCTTCCCATACCGTGAGGGTATGAAAGAGTATTCTCAACCCGAAAGCATGTTCGAAAACCTCAGTACATTGTATGTTATCCTAATTTGCACATAAATTCTCCTAAATCTGATTGTGACGTCATATTTTATTGTTACTGTGACGCCATTGTATTGATTCATTTAGGTTGACAGGGGGAACCGTGAATTCTATGAAACGGACAACAATTTTGTGACACACTGATGGAGATAACAAGCACTCCATTTTCCTGTTCTACAAAATTACATTGGATACCGAGGCTGTGTTGCTCTGCGAAATGACATTGTAAAATGTTTTTTGTTGCTCAGTGAAATGACGTAGAATGTGTTGGGTTTTTTTGCTTGAAATGACGTGGTTTGTGGTTTTGTTGCTTTGTGAAATCACGTGGTATGTGATAATGTTGCCCAATTAAATCAAGTGGTATGGGATTATGTTGCCCAGCTAAATCACGTGGTAAGTAGTTCGGTTGCTTGGTGCAATGACGTGGTATGTAATTATGTTGCCCAGCTAAATCACGTGGTATGTTATTATGTTGCCCAGCTAAATCACGTGGTAAGTAGTTCGGTTGCTTGGTGCAAAAACGTGGTATATGATTATGTTGCTTGGTGCAATGACGTGGTATGTAATTATGTTGCCCAGCTACATCACGTGGTATGCGATTATGTTGCCCATCTAAATCACGTGGTAAGTAGTTCGGTTGCTTGGTGCAATGACGTGGTATGTGATTATGTTGCTTGGTTCAATGACGTGGTATGTAATTATGTTGCCCAGCTAAATCACGTGGTATGTGATTATGTTGCCCATCTAACTCACGTGGTAAGTAGTCCGGTTGCTTGGTAAAATGACGGGGTATGTGATTATGTTGCTCAATGAAATAAGTTGGTAAAATGTGGTTCTGTTTCTCAAAGCAGTGGCTATGATCCCTGATATTTTGAATGACGATTACGGGGATCAAATCGCTGTCTTAATGAGTTTCAGACGGGTTGTTCTTTATGTCCTTACCTTTCTATCGTACTCTTGTCAAGCAACTAAATGTCAGAAACTTTAAAAAATGATCTTTTATAAGTCCCAGCAAATAGGGCCTCAGGGGTTGGGGCCCCATAGGCTCCTCACAGTTCATACAAAAAACGTGTTTAAACAATCGAAAATTCACAGATGTACAAACTAAAATATTTAAGCGCTTAGATACTAATTTGTTGAAGAAAAAAAGAAACTAAATCATAATGAAAAGATATAAGATGCGTTGTTTTCAGTGCCTAGAGAAATATCATCTTCCTTTAATAATTTATTTGGCAACAGCCATAACGAAGAAATTAGAAAATGTCCTTGCTTGGCTCCTGGGCTCTCTACCTTTAACACATTGAACGATTAAGCTATACCGGTGCAAACATGTGCATGTACATATTCTACACGTGTTATATTTAATATTTACAAATCTGAGTTGCTTTCCAATGATATCCATGCCGTACAGTGTCGTAGTGAATAAGTATTGTCATCATGCCTTATGAATGAAAACGTTTCTTCATTTAGGTAGTCCGAGTTATCTCCCTTCTGACGCGCAGCTTGTTGTAATCAACCCGCCCCATTACGACTTCGTCATGTAAATAATTGATTCGACATGTAATGATATATTTGGTATCTAGTTTGTCCTTTTATCAATAACAATGGCATTACATTATGTTACGAGCTATCAAAAACCTCACAAATGGGTTTGAGAACACTAATATTCTCAATTATTTATTGTTTATTTTTTCATTGCAGAGACTGTCCGCCAAGTTACTACGTCCCACGGCTGTCCGATCGTCCGTGATCAGAAAGTTCGGCGGGGTATGTGTTGACAACTCATTGTTTAAATCTGTAAACATAACTGTTAATATTGAGATAATACGATTGCCTCGATTCCAATTTTATTTTTGTGAATTCAAATCGAGACTTACCGAAAAATTAGCATTAAATCGTTCAACACATTACATGGAAGTTGTCGCCTTCTCGAGAAAATATCAGTTCGCTATAGTAGGTACTTTTACGGAATAGTTGTCGCATACGGTGGGAATTTACTAACTTTGAATGGGTTGAAATATTATAGTTTTTATTCTCCTTGTAGGGAGAAAGTCCTTACGAAAAGGTATTCACTCGGGAGAGCGTGCTTCACCCCGCACATGCAGTCAAGGATATAGGGGTAAGATATCGTACTGCAGGGAGACACTGGCGTAAAGAACTATTAGAGCAGTGGAGAAAATATGTCTTTATTTTGGTTTCTGCCATGTCTTTTAACCCATTCAACCCTGAAATCACATTTCAACCTTACCAAATCAAAGACTGGGCTAGTCCAGTTTAAAATTGTAGGGGATATGAGTTAAGCAGTAAACAGAACTGCTGGGAACCCACATTAGTCGCCTCATACGAGAACGTGCACTTGAATGAAGCAGATCTATTGATTTTCTGAATCTGCAATGATATAAGCAAAGTTTGGTTTGGTTTGGTTTGGTTTAGTATTGTTTACCGTCCTTTTAACAGCTATGGTCATTTGAGGACGGCCTCCCCTGTGTGCAAGATGCATGTGTGTGTGTTTTAGGAGGCTGCGATATGTTCGTGTTTGTCTCCATGTGATAGCGCGGGACCGATGCCGACTTTATAGTGCTACCTCACTGGAAACCTACTGCCGAAGACACCCAGCAGGACACCCCACCCGGTCACATTATACTGACAGTATAAGCAAAGTTTATAACATTATACTGACAGTATAAGCAAAGTTTATCACATTATACTGACAGAATAAGCAAAGTTTATCACATTATACTGACAACGGGCGAACCAGTCGTCCCACTCCAAAATTGCTGAGCGCTAAGCAGGAGTAGAAGCTACCATTTTTAACAGACTCTGGTATGTCTCGGCCAGGGGACAGAACCCAAAGCCTTCCTCACGAAACAAGTTTATTGCAACAAATTGAAGTTTTGCAGGGAATTAAGGAAAACGCTATCCCGTCTGATGCAAACACATGAAATAACAATAATGAAACGTGTATAAATCACGTAACCAGGCAGAAAGAAATGTTGAGTGTTATTTTTGCATGTTATAAAATCTTTCAAAATCAGTTTCCTTTAAACGAAAGACAAAAAAAAAATAAAGACACAAATATATAGTAAAAAAAAGAATAATGATCAAATACCTGCTTTATGTTTTGTTTGTACCTGTTACTAAACCACCACTATATTTCCCGGAGTGAAGCTTTGGAGCGTGACAATAAGTAAAAGCAACAAGATGTGTGAAACGTGAAAAATATATCAAATCCATTAATAACTGTGTGTTAATTACTTATTATTCAAATTAACTCCAATCTGGGCTATTTCCAATAATTATTTCAGCTGATTGTGTCACTTTTCCCATATTGGGTTGATAAGCCCTTTCATGTGCAACCCACTTTGTGAAAACTGACAAAATATTTATTTATTATTTTGCTTAATTGTGGTCCACGATTAATGTATTCTGTGAAATTAACACAAAATAAATAAATGATTAAATACACTTTTCTTCTTTTCACATATTGACACCCAAAGTTTTCTGTTCGTCATTGATATACCATTATAACAATAGCTGTTGTTTCTATATTTCCAGTTGTCGGTTGTATTTGTGGTGACGGGACTCGGTGATGTACCATTACAATAATAGTTGTTGTTTCTATATTTCCAGGTGTTGGTTGTATTTGTGATAACGGGACTCGATGGTATACCATTATAACAATAGCTGTTGTTTCTAACTTTCCAGTTGTTGGTTGTATTTGTGGTGACGGGACTCGGTGATATACCATTACAATAATAGTTGTTGCTTCTATATTTCCAGTTGTCGGTTGTATTTGTGGTGACGGGACTCGGTGATATACCATTATAACAATAGTTGTTGTTTCTATATTTCCAGTTGTCGGTTGTATTTGTGTTGACGTGATTCGATGATATACCATTATAACAATAGTTGTTGTTTCTATATTTCCAGTCGTCGGTTGTATTTGTGTTGATGTGACTCGCTGATATACCATTATAACATTAGCTGTTGTTTCTATATTTCCAGTTGTCGGTTGTATTTGTGTTGATGTGACTCGCTGATATACCATTATAACAATAGCTGTTGTTTCTATATTTCCAGTTGTTTGTTGTATTTGTGGTGACGTGACTCGATGATATACCATTATAACAATAGCTGTTGTTTCAATATTTCCAGTTGTCGGTTGTATTTGTGGTGACGGGACTCGGTGATACACCATTATAACAATAGCTGTTGTTTCTATATTTCCAGTTGTCGGTTGTATTTGTGGTGCCGGGACTCGGTGATATACCATTATAACAATAGCTGTTGTTTCTATATTTCCAGTTGTTGGTTGTATTTGTGGTGACAGGACTCGGTGATATACCATTACAATAATAGTTGTTGTTTCTATATTTCCAGTTGTCGGTTGTATTTGTGGTGACGGGACTCGGATATATACCTTTATAACAATAGCTGTTGTTTCTATATTTCCAGTTGTAAGTTGTATTTGTGGTGACGGGAATCGGTGATATACCATTATAACAATAGTTGTTGTTTCTATATTTCCAGTTGTTGGTTGTATTTGTGTTGACGTGATTCGATGATATACCATTATAACAATAGTCGTTGTTTCTATATTTCCAGTCGTCGGTTGTATTTGTGTTGATGTGACTCGCTGATATACCATTATAACATTAGCAGTTGTTTCTATATTTCCAGTTGTCGGTTGTATTTGTGTTGATGTGACTCGGTGATATACCATTATAACAATAGCTGTTGTTTCTTTATTTCCAGTTGTTAGTCGTATTTGTTTTGACGGGACTCGGTGATATACCATTATAACAATAGCTGTTGTTTCTTTATTTCCAGTTGTTAGTCGTATTTGTTTTGTCAGGACTCGGTGATATACCATTATAACAACTGCTGTTGTTTCTTTCTTTCCAGTTGTTAGTCGTATTTGTTTTTACGGGACTCGGTGATATACCATTATAACAATAGTTGTTGTTTCTATATTTCTAGTTGTCGGTTGTATTTGTGTTGACGGGACTCGGTGATATACCATTATAACAATAACTGTTGTTTCTATATTTCCAGTTGTTAGTCGTATTTGTTTTGACAGGACTCGGTGATATACCATTATAACAATAACTGTTGTTTCTATATTTCCAGTTGTTAGTCGTATTTGTTTTGACAGGACTCGGAGATATACCATTATAACAATAACTGTTGTTTCTATATTTCCTGCTGGTGTTTGTAGTGATGGTGACGGGACTCGATGATATCCCATTATATCAATAGTTGTCGTTTGTATATGTCCAGTTGTCGGTCGTGTTTGTGTTGACGGGACTCGGTGATATACCATTATAACAATAGTTGTTGTTTCTATATTTTCAGTTGTCGGTTGTATTTGTGTTGACGGGACTCGGTGATATACCATTATAACAATAACTGTTGGTTCTATATTTCCAGCTGGTGTTTGTAGTGATGGTGACGGGACTCGATGATATACCATTATATCAATAGTTGTCGTTTGTATATGTCCAGTTGTCGGTCGTGTTTGTGTTGACGGGACTCGGTGATATACCATTATAACAATAGTTGTTGTTTCTATATTTCCAGTTGTTAGTTGTATTTGTTGTGACGGGACTCGGTGATATACCATTATAACAATAGCTGTTGTTTCTATATTTCCAGCTGGTGTTTGTAGTGATGGTGACGGGACTCGGTGATATACCATTATAACAATAGCTGTTGTTTCTATATTTCCAGCTGGTTTTTGTAGTGATGGTGACGGGACTCGATGATATACCATTATATCAATAGTTGTCGTTTGTATATGTCCAGTTGTCGGGTGTATTTGTGTTGACGGGACTCGGTGATATACCATTATAACAATAGTTGTTGTTTCTATATTTCCAGTTGTTAGTTGTATTTGTTGTGACGGGACTCGGTGATATACCATTATAACAATAGCTGTTGTTTCTATATTTCCAGCTGGTGTTTGTAGTGATGGTGACGGGACTCGGTGATATACCATTATAACAATAGCTGTTGTTTCTATATTTCCAGCTGGTTTTTGTAGTGATGGTGACGGGACTCGATGATATACCATTATATCAATAGTTGTCGTTTGTATATGTCCAGTTGTCGGGTGTATTTGTGTTGACGGGACTCGGTGATATACCATTATAACAATAGTTGTTGTTTCTATATTTCCAGTTGTTAGTTGTATTTGTTGTGACGGGACTCGGTGATATACCATTATAACAATAGCTGTTGTTTCTATATTTCCAGCTGGTGTTTGTAGTGATGGTGACGGGACTCGGTGATATACCATTATAACAATAGCTGTTGTTTCTATATTTCCAGCTGGTTTTTGTAGTGATGGTGACGGGACTCGATGATATACCATTATATCAATAGTTGTCGTTTGTATATGTCCAGTTGTCGGGTGTATTTGTGTTGACGGGACTCGGTGATATACCATTATAACAATAGTTGTTGTTTCTATATTTCCAGTTGTTAGTTGTATTTGTTGTGACGGGACTCGGTGATATACCATTATAACAATAGCTGTTGTTTCTATATTTCCAGCTGGTGTTTGTAGTGATGGTGACGGGACTCGGTGATATACCATTATAACAATAGCTGTTGTTTCTATATTTCCAGCTGGTTTTTGTAGTGATGGTGACGGGACTCGATGATATACCATTATATCAATAGTTGTCGTTTGTATATGTCCAGTTGTCGGGTGTATTTGTGTTGACGGGACTCGGTGATATACCATTATAACAATAGTTGTTGTTTCTATATTTCCAGTTGTTAGTTGTATTTGTTGTGACGGGACTCGGTGATATACCATTATAACAATAGCTGTTGTTTCTATATTTCCAGCTGGTGTTTGTAGTGATGGTGACGGGACTCGGTGATATACCATTATAACAATAGCTGTTGTTTCTATATTTCCAGCTGGTTTTTGTAGTGATGGTGACGGGACTCGATGATATACCATTATATCAATAGTTGTCGTTTGTATATGTCCAGTTGTCGGGTGTATTTGTGTTGACGGGACTCGGTGATATACCATTATAACAATAGTTGTTGTTTCTATATTTCCAGTTGTTAGTTGTATTTGTTGTGACGGGACTCGGTGATATACCATTATAACAATAGCTGTTGTTTCTATATTTCCAGCTGGTGTTTGTAGTGATGGTGACGGGACTCGGTGATATACCATTATAACAATAGCTGTTGTTTCTATATTTCCAGCTGGTTTTTGTAGTGATGGTGACGGGACTCGATGATATACCATTATATCAATAGTTGTCGTTTGTATATGTCCAGTTGTCGGGTGTATTTGTGTTGACGGGACTCGGTGATATACCATTATAACAATAGTTGTTGTTTCTATATTTCCAGTTGTTAGTTGTATTTGTTGTGACGGGACTCGGTGATATACCATTATAACAATAGCTGTTGTTTCTATATTTCCAGCTGGTGTTTGTAGTGATGGTGACGGGACTCGGTGATATACCATTATAACAATAGCTGTTGTTTCTATATTTCCAGCTGGTTTTTGTAGTGATGGTGACGGGACTCGATGATATACCATTATATCAATAGTTGTCGTTTGTATATGTCCAGTTGTCGGGTGTATTTGTGTTGACGGGACTCGGTGATATACCATTATAACAATAGTTGTTGTTTCTATATTTCCAGTTGTTAGTTGTATTTGTTGTGACGGGACTCGGTGATATACCATTATAACAATAGCTGTTGTTTCTATATTTCCAGCTGGTGTTTGTAGTGATGGTGACGGGACTCGGTGATATACCATTATAACAATAGCTGTTGTTTCTATATTTCCAGCTGGTTTTTGTAGTGATGGTGACGGGACTCGATGATATACCATTATATCAATAGTTGTCGTTTGTATATGTCCAGTTGTCGGGTGTATTTGTGTTGACGGGACTCGGTGATATACCATTATAACAATAGTTGTTGTTTCTATATTTCCAGTTGTTAGTTGTATTTGTTGTGACGGGACTCGGTGATATACCATTATAACAATAGCTGTTGTTTCTATATTTCCAGTTGTAAGTCGTATTTGTGTTGACGGCACTTGGTGATATACCATTATAACAATAGTTGTTGTTTCTATATTTCCAGTTGTAAGTCGTATTTGTGTTGACGGGACTCGGTGATATACCAATATAACAATAGCTGTTGTTTTTATATTTCCAGTTGTTAATTGTATTTGTTTTGACGGGACTCGGTGATATACCAATATAACAATAGCTGTTGTTTCTATATCTCCAGTTGTAAGTCGTATTTGTGTTGACGGGACTCGGTGATATACGCTGTTGTTTCTATATTTCCAGTTTTAAGTCGTATTTGTGTTGACGGCACTTGGTGATACACCATTATAACAATAGCTGTCGTTTATATATTTCCAGCTGGTGTTTGTAATGATGGTGACGGGACTCGGTGATATGCCGTTATAACAATAGCTGTCGTTTTTATATTCCCAGCTGGTGTTTGTAGTGATGGTGACGGGGCCCGGGGATATACCATTATAACAATAGTTGTCGTTTTTATATTTCCAGCTGGCGTTTGTAGTGATGGTGACGGGACTCGATGATATACCATTATCTCAATAGTTGTCGTTTGTATATGTCCCGTTGTCGGGTGTATTTGTTTTGACGGGACTCGGGGATATACCAATATAACAATAGCTGTTGTTTTTATATTTCCAGCTGGTTTTTGTAGTGATGGTGACGGGACTCGATGATATACCATTATAACAATAGCTGTTGTTTTTATATTTCCAGTTGTTAATTGTATTTGTTTTGACGGGACTCGGTGATATACCATTATAACAATAGTTGTCGTTTTTGTATTTCCAGTTGGTGTTTTTAATGATGGTGACGGGACTCGGTGATATACCAATATAACAATAGCTGTTGTTTCTATATTTCCAGCTGGTGTTTGTAATGATGGTGACGGGACTCGGTGATATACCATTATAACAATAGTTGTCGTTTTTGTATTTCCAGTTGGTGTTTTTAATGATGGTGACGGGACTCGGTGATATACCAATATAACAATAGCTGTTGTTTCTATATTTCCAGCTGGTGTTTGTAGTGATGGTGACGGGACTCGGTGATATACCATTATAACAATAGCGTTGTTTTTATATTTCCAGTTGTTAGTTGTATTTGTTGTGACGGGACTCGGTGATATACCATTATAACAATAGCTGTTGTTTCTATATTTCCAGCTGGTGTTTGTAGTGATGGTGACGGGACTCGGTGATATACCATCATAACAATGACTGTTGTTTCTATATTTCCAGCTGGTGTTTGTAGTGATGGTGACGGGATTCGGAATGACGGCTGCGGTGACATACCCTATATATTATCTGTGTACAAGCCTGGACATAACGTACGTGTTTTGCATGAATATTTATTTCGTGTTGTATTACAAAAATATATATTTAACAACAATTTTGAAACAAGTTATCTTAACTCATATAAATCAGTTCTGTTGGCCCGGGTGTGAGCGCGCAGGAGGAAACAGGAGAACACCCACGTTGTCGGGCATGTGACCCCATACTTTTTACGGGGAATCGAACTCTGGTCACCTTGGTGAAAGGCGAGTGTGTTATCCACTGCGCCATCCTATCAAATTTGTGTTGTATTCAGGCAAGAAGTAGCGTGAAGAGCTATTATTACAACAAACAAGGGTAAATTTGTTTGTTTGTTTGGGGTTTAACGTCCTCACAACAGCCAGGGTCATATAAGGATGGTAGCCTAGGGAGACAACAGCCAGGGTCATATAAGGATGTTGGCCTAGGGACACACAACAGCCAGGGTCATATAAGGATGGTAGCCTAGGGAGACAACAGCCAGGGTCATATAAGGATGTTAGCCTAGGGAGACACAACAGCCAGGGTCATATAAGGATGGTAGCCTAGGGAGACAACAGCCAGGGTCATATAAGGATGTTGGCCTAGGGACACACAACAGCCAGGGTCATATAAGGATGGTAGCCTAGGGAGACAACAGCCAGGGTCATATAAGGATGTTAGCCTAGGGAGACACAACAGCCAGGGTCATATAAGGACGGGAGCCTAGGGGGACACAACAGCCAGGGTCATATAAGGACGGGAGTCTAGGGGGACACAACAGCAAGGGTCATATAAGGATGGTAGTCTAGGGAGACACAACAGCCAGGGTCATATAAGGATGGTAGCCTAGGGAGACACAACAGCCAGGGTCATATAAGTATGGTAGCCTAGGGAGACACAACCGCCAGGGTCATATAAGGACGGGAGCCTAGGGGGACACAACAGCCAGGGTCATATAAGGATGGTAGCCTAGGGAGACACAAAAGCCAGAATCAAATAAGGACGGTTGCTATGACACACAACAGCCAGGGTCATATACAAACGGGAGTCTAGGGGGACACAACAGCCAGGGTCATATAAGGATGGTAGCCTAGGGGGACACAACAGCCAGGGTCATATAAGGACGGGAGCCTAGGGGAACACAACAGCCAGGGTCATAAAAGGATGGAAGCCTAGGGGGACACAACAGCCAGGGTCATATAAGGGCGGGAGCCTAGGGGGACACAACAGCCAGGGTCATATAAGGATGGTAGCCTAGGGAGACACAACAGCCAGGGTCATATAAGGACGGGTGCCTAGGGAGAGACAACAGCCAGGGTCATATAAGGACGGGCGCCTAGGGGGACACAACAGCCAGGGTCATATAAGGACGGGAGCCTAGGGGAACACAACAGCCAGGGTCATAAAAGGATGGAAGCCTAGGGGGACACAACAGCCAGGGTCATATAAGGACGAGAGCCTAGGGGGACACAACAACCAGGGTCATATAAGGACGGGTGGCTAGGGAGACAACAGTCAGGGTCACATAAGGACAGGTGCCTTGAGAGACACAACAGTCAGGGTCATATAAGGACGGGTGCCTTGAGACACAACAGACAGGGTCATATAAGGACGGGTGCCTTGAGACACAACAGCCAGGGTCATATAAGGACGGGTGCCTTGAGACACAACAGCCAGGGTCATATAAGGATGG